AGTGTAGGGCATTTTCTAAAGAAAAAATATAACCACAACGCAAGTTTTTGTTTGTTTTCTTTCCTGCCAGAGAATCATATTAAAATAAAAATAAGTTAACAGGATACCCTAGGAAGCTACACACACACAGGAAAAAGGCTAGGGTCCCTTTCATTCTTTTCTTCATGTATTATTCTTTAGCTTCCTTTGCTTTAGGTACCAATATTTTCCATATAAGCAAGTGATAAGACAGAAAAACAAAGCATAACAAATTACAGAGAATTAACAGGAAAAGAAAATGTATACATAGAAGCAACTCTTACCCAATAAAGGAAAGTAGCTTATCTTTCATATATCTTTCAAAAAGTTGCCTGAAGTCTTTAAATAATTCAACAGATGTATGCTGGTAGGTTAATGCATTAACCTAAATCAGGCCTAACCTTTTATATGGGTCTGATAATGGGAGGAGAAGCTTAGTTAGCTGAGGAAAAAACACCTGAAGCTATAGCACTAAAGTACTGACTGTTTCAACCAGGATCTTCTACTATCCTTTCCCTTAATATTTTAAGTTAAGCCAACTGTAGAATAGAAAGTGTGTCTCCACCCACCAGTGAAATAGCAAGTAATTGTTTGTTGTCTTCTTTAGGGATTAATGGATGAAGTAGGACTATAGATATATAGGGTTTATAAAATGGAACAATTAAAAGATAAAACGCTTCAATGTGTGGGAACCATAGGGAACATAAGAACTACTAAACTGAAACATAGGATTGAATCAACAAAGTCTAGTCTGTGGACAAAAGAGAATGAATTACTGACACATGAAGCATGGATAAATATCAAAAACACGGGTTAAAGAAGCCAACTCTCCCCCAGTCTTGTTTCATTTATTATATCAAAAACAGGCAAAACTAATTTATGGTGATAGTGGTTGCCTCCCGAAAGGGCTGAAGTAGGAAAACTGACTGGGCCATGAGGGAACTTTCTGGGGTGATGGAAATATTTTATGTCAGCACTGCATGATAGAAATATAAAATGAAACAGGTAAAAGAAATTTTAACAGTTTTATTTAGCCCAATAGAACCAAAATATTATCATTTCAATATGTAATCAATATAAAACTTATTAATGAGGTATTTCATACTTGTTCGTACTATTTGAAATCTGGTATATATTTTAAATTTACGGCACATAATCTGGACATAACCCACATTTCAAGTCTGAAGAGGCAAGTGTGGCTAGTGGTTACTTTTGGGAAAGTCTAGCTCTATGTCTTAGACTTATACGCTTGTGCAAATGTATAGATTTGTCAAAATTTATCAAACTGTGCCCTTAGTATCTATGCATTTTATCGTATGTAAGTATACTTAGTAAAATTAAGTATTAATGAAAAATTATTTCATTTTGGAGAAAAAAATAATCCCTGTAGGAAATTCTACAGAGCTAACAATTTCTTCAACACATGAATTATAAGGACAAAAAACAGAATGAGAGAGGGGAGATAAAATGTATGAATTAAAATAAAGTTAAGAGGCAGCAATTAATTCCAATGTACTGATGTTATTTGGATTCAGATTTGAACAAATTAAAAGAGAGAGAAATAGAGAGATAAAGCGAAAAGGGGAAAAGAAAGAAAAGGGGAAAAGAGAGATTTGTTGCTATTAAGGAATATTAAGGGTTTTAAAATTCATTATTATATATATGTTTATGTCTGTTTAAAAGAACTCTTATCTTTTAATGAAACAAAGAGAAATATTAAACAGATAAAATGATACATGTGAGATTATTAATTACTTTGTTAGTAGTAGGAGGAGGAGAAGGGGGAAGAAATAACACTGGCCATGAGTTGATATTTATTTTTCAAAATAGGAAGTTTAAAAAATGAAGTTTATTGGATAAAAAAATATAAGATGAAACTTATGGGAGAAATAAGAACTATTCATCATTAACTAAAATCA